TTTTAAATATAAGCAATATTTTCTAACCACCATTGTTATTATAAGTTCATAATAACAATACTAATTTTCTAGGAAAGATTCGTGCAACGCTTCAGCGCTCACCTTACTATACTAAAACTACAGAAAGAGAAGTCGAATCACGAGGGACCGAAATGCTCGGGGGATAAGAAGAGAAAGACTCTTAAATCAAGAGAATGGTGCAAAAAATATGAGAGCTAGAGGCTCTTATTTATAGTGATTGAATTTTCAAAAACTACATTCCATAGTTACTTAATGACCTTATAGTTATATAAATGACTAAACACCCGTTTATAATACTATTTTAAATAGATTTAATGATATTTGTACTAAACGAATGTCGAAAGTACTCAACACTAGTTTTATAACGACCGCATCGTCGATACCTTTCTAACGATATATACATATGTATATGTATGTATACGTATATATGATTTACACTTTATTTTAATACGTAAATGTGCTATTAAAAATTATAAATTGTTCATACGAAATCCGTTTTCGACGTTCTTTATATCCATGCGTAGCTATCGACGAGATATACAACTTTCGTTTGGACTCCGTCGGCTAATTTTGAATTTATATTTTTGTCAATTTTTTTATAAAATTAAATGATTTTGCTAAAATCATAACTCTCTCGTACTGACTCCGTTTTTGGCATTCTTTTTCTCAAAATTCCTATTTTAAGGAGTACTACGATTTTCATTTTGGTCGCATTAGCTAAAAGTCAATCATTCTCTTCGTAGCTTTTTACGTCATACATTCGTTGTGCGCGGCTGACTTTTATATCTTATAAAAATCATATCTAATTCATACGGATTCGGATTTCGACGAAATTTATATTTTCGGGATCAGAACGACGTATACTTCCTATATATATATATATATATATATATATATATATATATATATATATATATATATATATATAATATATATATATATATATATATATATATATGTTTTGGCGCACTTATTTTTACGATTTACGAAGGATTCGACTGATTTTTCCTATTTTATTATATTATAATAATCATGAAACATATAATATTCAAGTAATTATTCTTTATTACGTCGAATAGGTTACAATTGTTAACCCGAACTATTACTTTGGTTAAGATTATTTATCCTAGATAATCTTCTATAAAAAAAAATCATTTTTAACGCTTATTATCTTAATTGACTAGCCCGAATCTGCGGGTGTTACAATTATATCCCCTTAGGATGATTACGTCCCAGAATCATCAAAAAAATAGGGCTTGTATAATGACTCCGTTCATTTCCTTTCCATCCTAGGTGGTAATCATAACTCTTATGTCCTTTCAAATGAGTATCTAACTCTAGGACTTCTTGACTATTGGCGGTGCGCAATCTTGCACCCACTCTTTATCATATGTTGGACTTTTAATATTAACCTTCGAGTTACAAACTCAGTCCTTATTGGAAACTCTTGCCCTTTCTTAAACAGACTTAAACTAAGATAAGTTCTTTACTTCGATTACCGTATCAGACCGATGGAACATGTTCTAATGAGATCTCGTCGTATGATGCAACGCTTAGACTCAGGTCTTTTAGAGTCAAATTCCAGAATAGATGTCATTCATTATCATAAGCCTTTTTATTTCCTCCATTTACTCAATTCTCTACGAGTCTTCACCATGGTGTTATGTTCACTGAAGCATGTGTGCAGTGCATCGAGACGAGAATATAGATAGAGAAGATTTAGACGTGTAATCTTCCTTATTACTCCGAAAAGTTACATGCTAGTTCTAATATCGTAATTAAACGTTTAGAAATCTGAACACATAAAATTTCCAGATCCGGTCGGCAACAGACCATAGATCTGATCAAACGATAGCATAAAGCAACAAATCATTTAGCACATAAAAGCATTTTCGGCATCTTCCCTAATTAAGCTAGTGCTTGTGTCTATTCAGGTGTACTACCTAAAATATATTAGACACACTCCTCACAATCATTTCTTAGCATCCTAAGTTTAAGTCTAGAAATAAATCTTTATTCCTAGTTCGCTTAAACTAATGCTCTGATACCAACTGTGACATCCCCATTTTCACGGCCAGAAAAGACCGATTTTGTTTATGCTTTATAAAAATCAGAGTACCTCTTTTAATAAAAGTGTTGCGGAATTTGTTCCCAGAAAAACATGATAAATACGTTATCAAAACATTTCCTAATAAATGTATTTTATTCATTTTAAAACATTTGGGATGTCATCGTCAATACAGAAACATAAGCATAAACAGAACTTACATTTATTTACACTAGTGATCTACATCTTTTTTAAATCTCTCAGTGTAAAGTAGCTTCGTATCGACACCTGTGATTACAAATAAGCTTGAGTGGGTCAGGTTTGGGAAACCTGGTGAGTATATAGGGTTTTCAACCCACAATAATATAATTATTATGATTAAACATCAAACAATCAACCCAATTACCCATCCCCATTATCTCCCTTACTCTTAAAGATCTACCCTAAGAATCAGCTATTCCTCGTTTATTCATTCCTAAGAATTATCCTAAAGAATAGGCACGAAATCCCATCGTTGCTAATGACACATTTGTCAAGCACAACTACTAATATTATCACTTAGGCGCAACTACCAAAATTGTGACATTCCTTATGAGGCGCATCTGCCGGTATTGTCCTTTAGGCGCATCTTCCGGGGTTATAAGGTTCTCTATTAGGCGCTTCTGCCGGTAGAGTCCTTTAGGCGCATCTGCCAGGGTTATCTCGTTTATTGACAGTATCGTTTCCGAGAATTCACTCGCAATACATGTCAATGGTTTTTATCTCGTTTATCGACAGTATCATTTCCGAGAATCCACTCGCAATACATGTCAATGGGCTTTTAGAGTACAACTGGTGAATACACACTTCAAATAACACCTATAGCTTGCGAGTCTGCTAGTGTTCCACTGGACTGTCAAGAATAGTCCGTGGTTGTCATCCATACTCTGTAGATATAAAATACATTTTGTAGATATAAAATACATTTTTTGTCACACAACAACTATTTCATCTACCCATGTTTTACCCAACACATTTTGTAGATATAAAATACATATACAGTTTAAATAATTTAAAACATGTATAAAAATCTTTCACCCAGCATAGACGGCAAGTATACAGACAATATGCACACATAGCATGTAATTTATATTAAATACTTCATATCTATGTGTAAGATGAAAGTAACTATGCACTCACTTGTTAAGGTGGTGATTCTGAACTCAGACAGCGCTTCGCTTCTTAAAAATAATTTCCTTCGATTAAACCTAGTATTTTTACCACTAGATTTTAGTCTAATATTTACCGTGACTAACTATTAGTCTTATTATTATTATTATTATTATTATTATTATTATTATTATTATTTAAGCGTTTAAACAATATTTTCCAACCACTATGTACAGACAGGGGCCAGACATAAAACACCGGAGGGCAGGACCAGTTTGGCGTATAGCACTTCTGAAATCCAACAACCCTATGCGGCCCTTTAAACCAGATTTCCCGTACCGCGAGTAGTTAAAAAGATATTATAACGACACTTATATAAGTCATAATAATAGCCCAAATATTTATTATAAGTTCATAATAACAATACTAATTTTAAATATAAGCTATATTAAAATAGGGTAAGCATAATTTACTTACAAGGGGGTTTTAGCTAAGAGTCGGGCTCTGCAGGGGCAGAACTTCGTCGCTGAATCTTTCTAGGAAAGATTCGTGCAGCGCTTCAGCGCTCACCTTACTATACTAAAACTACAGAAAGAAAAGTCAAATCACGAGGGACCGAAATGTTCGGGGGATAAGAAGATATAGACTCTTGAATCAAGAGAATGATGCAAGAAATATGAGAGCTAGAGACTCTTATTTATAGTGATTGAATTTTCAAAACCTACATTCCATAATTACTTAATGACCTTATAGTTATATAAATGACTAAACACCCCTTTATAATACTATTTTAAATAGATTTAATGATACATATGTATATGTATGTATACGTATATATGATTTACACTTTATTTTAATATGTAAATGTGCTATTAAAAATAATAAATCGTTCATGCGAAATCCGTTTTTGATGTTCTTTATATCCATGCGTAGCTATCGACGAGATATACAACTTTCGTTTGTACTCCGTCGGCTAATTTTGAATTTATATTTTTGTCCATTTTTTTATAAAATTAAATGATTTTGCTAAAATCATAACTCTCTCGTACTGACTCCGTTTTTGGCATTTCTTTTTCACAAAATTCCTATTTTAAGGAGTACTATGATTTTCATTTTGGTCGCATTAGCTAAAAGTCAACCATTCTCTTCGTAGCTTTTTACGTCATACATTCGTTGTGCGCGGCTGACTTTTATCTCTTATAAAAATCATATCTAATTCATACGGATTCGGATTTCGACGAAATTTATATTTTCGGGATCGACGTATACTTCCTATATATATATATATATATATATATATATATATATATATATATATATATATATATATATATTTAAATGTTTTGGCGCACTTATTTTTACGATTTACGAAGGATTCGACTGATTTTCCTATTTTATTATATTATAATAATCATGAAACATATAATATTCAAGTAATTATTCTTTATTACGTCGAATAGGTTACAATTGTTAACCCTAACTATTATTTTGGTTAAGATTATTTATCCTAGATAATCTTCTATATAAAAAAAATCATTTTAACGCTTATTATCTTAATTGACTAGCCCGAATCTGCGGGTGTTACATTTTCCTACGCCTAATAGCCATAGGATGACCGAATAGTCCTTCTGCATTCCGGTATTTATCTAACTCTGCAGAAATCTTGTCTTGAACTTCCTGGTCTGGAACAAGTCTCATAATGCAACCATATAACCCTTGTTCCACTTCTTCACAAGCCACCCCAACAGTATCCTTATAAAATATCCCCGGGTTTAAAAAAGTATCATGTTGCATGTAGAGGTTTATGCAGTTGACATTCCCACCTTTGATCAATGATTTGAAAAGTTGTCTTGTAGTCATCCGCATTGGAAAAACTATCACGAATAGCTTCTTTAGCCCTATCCATAGCCTCATAAATATAGCCCGTTGCTGGATACTTTTCTCCATCAACTAACCTAAGAACTTTGACTAAAGGGTCGGTTAACTTGAGAGTATACAAAACATTCCTCCAAAATGAATCTTGCATAAAGTAGGTTTTTACTTTTTTTTGCAATCTGATCTTTGCTGGACCACTTTGCCTTTTCCCACTCTGCAGAAATCACCATATTCTTCAGGTTGTGTCTTTGTCTGTGGACTTGGGCAAGTGTGATAAAAGATGTGGCAAATCTAGTTACAACTGGCCTATGCAAGTTTCTTTCTTTGGTGAACTTTCTCATCAAGTTCACAACAGGAACATGACTATATATATAGCCAATTGCTAACATAGCCTTCTTTATTGCAATTTTCACCTTAGGAACCTTTTTTCCAATGTCCTCCGGCATCAAATACAAGCAATGAGCAAGCACATGGTATCCAATAAAGATGCTCTCTTTTGGCTTCCAACATCTTCCCTACAAAGTTTATAGACAGAAAATTAGAATTTAGAAATTATAAGACAATAACAAACACAACATAGTATTAACATGCATATACAAGTTACAACTCTTACCTGCCCTTACATATGCTGAAGCATTATCAGTTACAACTTGTACTACGTTTTTTTCTCCAACTTCCTCCACCATCTTATCCAGAACATGAAATAACAAATCTGCATCCTTGGATACATCCGAAACATCGACTGATTTCACAAACATCGAACCCTTCGGAGAGTTTACCATGAAGTTTATGATATCCTTTTGCACCACTGAATCACGCCATCCATCAGATAATATTGAACAACGTTTTTCTGCCCATTCTTGTTCATGCTCAAGAATCTGGATTTTCACATCCTATACTTCATTCCTAAGCAGAGGGACTCGTAACTCATACATGCTCGGTGGTTTCATCCCAGGGCCAAACTGTCCAATAGCTTCAACCATGACTTTGAAGCTATTATATGTCACGGCATTGTAAGGAACTGTCCAATAGCTTCAACCATGACTTTGAAGCTATTATATGTCACGACATTGTAAGGAATGGCTGAAGCAATAAAGTATATGCCAGTTAGTAAATATAAATTGTTATTAAATAAAGTCAACAAGGCATCAAAAATAAATTATACCTACATCGTAAAACCATCTCGCAATCTCACGGCAAATTCTATCCCTGAGATCCTTTCGACATACTTCATTGATTGTTTGTTGTCTCCCTCCTTTCCTACTTTTGACGACTTCATGCGGATTGGGGTGTAGTATGTGTCCATAGGGCCTTTTTGCCTTGGTTTTTTTGGAGGGGGCATTTACCTACTACTGCCTATTTCAACAACATCTTCCTCATCAACATCATCATATTCATCAGGTTCATACATCTGGAATCGTGCTTGTTCCATTTGTTGTTGAGCTTTTAAATTCTGTTTCTTTTCCAAATATGCTTTTACTTCTTCTTGTACATGTCCCGGACAATTCGGACACTTCTTTACGTCCTTATAACCACCAACCATATGATGTTTGAGCCGAAATACACCTCCCTTCACCACTTGTCCATAGAAATTGCATGTGAAGTTGTTTTTAATAGTTGGATCTTGTACCCCGTATCTCTTAACCGGGATCTTGTACCCCGTATCTCTTAACCGGGTCATCTGATCCATTCTTTGTAGAACCCATTCTATGAAATAACATTATATATCATTACATATTAGTATTATCTGTTTCTACTTTCTAATTTCTAAAGTCTACACATGCTAACATGAAAGCAAGTAAGCAACATAACAGTTAAGTTCAAAGGAACATTTAATAATTTAACTGATCAGAAACATTTAATGATTTAACAACTATGAACTAACTACGTGACTAACTAGTAACATTAAGATCATCCAATATGATACAACAATAAAAACATAACAAAACAAATGTCAGTTATGAGTAACTGATTAATAATAGAAGAAGAAAGAAGAAGTAACTAGTAAGTAGATGAAACTTGAAAGATCATTAAAATCGTTGTATTCACTATTCAGAATTAGAGTAGAATAGTTATTAACAACATAAAAAATTGAACATGTACCTTGTTTTGATCTTGAATGTTGATTCACTTGATTCCAACCGTTGTGTTCAGAGGAGAGAGGAGGGCAGGAGGCTGAAGATGAATATGGAGAAGAAGAAACGTTTTCCTGCCTACTGATGTTGTCGCTGTTGTGCGACGTATGAATTCTCATTTTAATAACCCTACAACCTACGTATCTAATTAAAAATACACTAAACATGGCCCAGCTAATTAAATAAGCCCGGTATACCAAAAGCGCGATTAAGCGCCGCGTTACCAAATCGGAAAAAGCGGCAAAAGCGCCTTAAGGAATCTGAGCGCATTACTAATTCAAAAGCGATTTTGATTTTCATATGAGCGCTTAGCGCTTTAAGCGGTCCAAAGCGCCGCTTTTTAAAACCAAGGCAACATTGCTAACCAAATATTTTTCATCCTTTCAAATTGATTATAAATAAAGAATATTATGATTAAACGTAAAACAATATTGGTCAGGGTAATCGTCCGATAAGCCTTTTAATTTGTTTGTTAACCAAATGTGGAAATTCTTATTAGCTATAACAGTTTCATAATAGAAAATACCTCACAAACCGACATATCACTCAAAAGCATGAAACTTTTGAGAGGAAGAACCACTTTCGTTCCCATATTTGCACCAAATTTCAATGATCTTTTAACAGGAAAAAAGTTTTTTCATTACCTGTAAAAGAAGCTTGTCAAGAATTGCATGATGAGCCCAAAATGGAAAGGCAAAGCAGCAGAAAAAAAAATACAAAAGTACTTTCGTTCCCATTTGTCCACTAAACCAACTTTTAAGAGTAAAAATAGATATTTTTTCATTACGTGCAAAAGAAGCTTGTCAGAAATGGCACGATAAGCCCTAAATCAGAAGGCAAATCAGCAGAAAAAAATTATAACATTCATAAAGAAACATAAAAGAAGGGTTAAAAAAAGAAGAAGCAATCACACATGTTGACATTTCTGTAATTAGGGTTCGATTCCAGGGGAGAGAGATGAGGTTATTGCAGCAAAGAGGAGAGGGAAACAGACATAGAGATGTTAGTGGAGACAGTGGTGGATCAGAGGGTGTTATGTCGTAAGTGATACCTTGGGGTTATTGTGGAAGCAGTAAAGGAAGACAAACGGGTTACACTACTTCATGTACCTTCTATCAGTCCCAAACATCAATCAGTAGGTCAACATCATCGACACTAAAAAACAGAAATTGACAGCACACTTGGATCGATTTTAAAGATTCCGGATTAATACATGATCTTTATTGTTGTGATAACTAACAATGATCGATTAATTTAAGATGGTGATAATCTCAATATAATCAATAATTCAATGTAACAAAAAGTCAGCGTTAATCATGTAAGGGCAAAAGAGGCAAGATTATTACGATGCCCAGGAATGAATTGCTCAATCGTATACATGAGTACTGAAATCCACTACATACAGAAAATTGAAATCAAATTAACATGTAATTGGAACTGAAATCCACAGCGAAATCAAATTAACATGCAACCTTAAAGCCTTCGGTTGTATTGGATACAACCAATCGATAGAAAAGTTGAAAAACAATTAGAAACCACAGAACACATACCGAAATTAGAAATCTACTGCGACATCATATAGAAATCCGCGACTCCAAGTTTGATTGCTTTGAGGAGGAAGATGAAGCAGCAGGCGGTGGAAGGCGGTAGTCATCGACGTCAAAGAGAACCCGGATGAACTGAGAAGAACGGAGGCTATGGCAGAGGCGGTGTCGGCGAAAGGTAAATCGGAGTCCGATTGATGGTCATCTTCATCGTCGCTCAATTCCCATCGTTACCGACAACGAAATCTGAGATGGTTTTTTGTGAATCAAAGCAACCAGACGGGGAATCATAGTCGGTGGAAGTAGCAGGAAGAGATTAAGACGATTGGGATACAAAAGGCGGTGAAGGAATTAGGGAAAAGATCTAGAAGATGGATTCGGCGAGGCTCAATTCGGCGATAGCGCTGGTTTTGGGGGACGCCGCAGTTGGAAGTCGTAGGAGTAAGAGGGTGGATATTGGATGAGAGATAGACGGTATGATAGAATGAGATTCGGTGAAGGAAGAAACTGGAAGGTCGTAATTGATGGAGGCGTCAGTGGTGCGGGGGAATGTTATTGGGGAATAGAACGGTGGAGGGAAAAAACAGAAGAAGAGAGTAAAAAACAACACGTGGAAACCAATATAAAAAAAGGGAAAAAAATCAAAGGAAACCCAACAAAGAGAAAAAATAAACAAAAAATTCACCAATAAGAAGTTATTACTGTTCTTCACTAACAGACTTCAAAATTAAACTATATATAAGGAACATGATGAAAATATGAGTTGTAAAACAAAATTTACAATAAAAATGTTCACTCTATCCCTTAAATTAAACACACCATATGGGCAGCAGGTGCAACCTAAAGTAGTAAAAGCAAAAGCAAAAAATACAAAACCAGAAAAACAAAAAAAAAAGTTATTAGTTGCTATTATTCCACCTGTCATTTAAACTAAACAAAAGCTGATGACCAAAACTCTACAATGTTGTATGGGAGGCGATGACCAAAAAAATCTATAATTCTTAACAATATCACAGAAAAAGGAGGCTAGTTAGTTACCGAAAACTGTAATGCTTCATGTTAACTATTATACATTAACAATATCACAGAAAAGGAGGCTAGTTAAACAAAAGCTTCATGTTAACTATTAATGCTTCAAAATAAATTATACATAGACACAAAATTTTACATGTTAAACAATGCATGCAAAATACCATGTGTATTTTTTTATTATAAAAATACGTATGCAAAATAGCAATATACTAAAGACAAAACTGCATAAATAGTTAGGTGGTGTTTGTTTTTTGTCCGCAGATCTTCGTGACCTCTTCTATCTGCACGGCGCAGACCACGTGCAGACATTAACCTTCGCAGACTGTTTGCTTTTTTGAAGACTGCAGATCTAAAAATGTATGCACGCTCTCTTCTTGGCGCAGATGTGGACCAGAGTCTTCTAACATCTTCAGACATCATCTAGCCTAAAAAAACACATATACTTTATTTTATTTTTTTAGTTTTTTTTGAATTTATATTTATTCCAACTTTATTAGTGATAAACAATTTGAAAAAAAAAAAGTTACAATACTTAAAAAAAAAAGTTTGACGACACAAACATGATATATTTGACAAATTTATAAATAAAAGTTTATTACAATAACAGTCGTTGAAAATATATATATATATATATATATATATATATATATATATATATATATATATATATATATATATATTCTTATATTTTTTGTGCAACATTTTAATAAAACATTATTTAATAAAGCATCGTCAATTTCATAGAAAAAATATTTATGACACGTTTTTAGTTGATTTAATTTAAAAAATCGAAGTTTATTTCCATTAATTTTTATATCAAATTCTTTGATACCTAATTACAATGTTTAGGTATAACTTTGCGACCAAAATTGTTGGTTTTTATCAAATATATACGTTAATTTGTACCATTTTTATTTTCACTTTTTATACAATAATACATAAAAGTTGATTTAGATTTGTTAATTATTTATAACAAAGTCATAAATATATTAAAAAATCACTTTGTAGTTTAAAAAAATAAGTTTATTTAAATTTTAGTTCATTTTAGTACTCTGCAGATGTTAAAAAAACAAATAGTCTTCTTTTTCAAACTGCAGACGTTTGGTCCACCTCTTCTGCTGCAGAGGTCTACAGATGTGGTCCGCAGACTGCAGACATTTTGCCACAGAAAAAACAAACAACACCTTACTGTGGTTAGCTGAAAATTGTCACATTTGTCTAAAAAAGTTTGGACTAGCACCCATGTTCGTATGGGCGGCGATGACCAAAAAAATCTATAATTCTTAACAATATCACATAAAAGGAGGCTAGTTAATTACCAAAAACTGTAATTTTGCACAGTTACTAAAAATATATGAATCTAAACAAAAGCTTCATGTTAACTATTAATGCTTCAAAATACATTATACATAGACACAAAATTTTACAGGTTAAACAATGCATGCAAATACGCATGCAAAATACCATGTGTATTTTTTTTTTTATAAAAATACGTATGCAAAATAGCAATATACTAAGGACAAAACTGCATAAATAGTTACTGTGATTAGCTGAAAATTGCCACTTTTGTCCAGAGGTCAAAACTTTTCATTTCGTTGCGAGTTTGATCCAATTTGCTTTGAACTTTTTTATAATGATAGTTTTACCCTTACCTTTTACTTTTTCAATTTTATTTATTTATTTAAATATTTGACTGATTTAAAAAATAAAAAAGAATTTAAAAGAAAAGACAAAACTCTCTCTCTCTCTCTCTCTCTCTCTCTCTCTTATGTTAAATATACCTCTCAACGCACCAACCGGAAAAACGAAGGTTTACAGATACGGACGATGGCGACGAGATCCGAGTAAGGGTTTGCAGAAGGTGATGGCGGACATGATAGGGGATGAAGGTAGAGCTGAAAGCGATGGTGGCTGACGGCGACGACGGTGGTGGAGTCGGCGATGAGGGGTTATTGAGAACAATGAAGAACAAAAAGAAGGATATATATGATAGGTTTTATACAAACAATCATATGTGTGCATGTAACCCTAATTGGATCTATGTTTTCACTAT